TGCCACGAACCATCTAATAACAACCATGTGTATTGTGCGTCGATGGTTCGGCAGTAGAATACTGTCCAACCCTGTCTCACGTGGTCCGGGGATTCGAATCCCAGCAGGCATACACCTTCGCCTGACAAAGAGGGAATGTGTTGGACTAGGTGAGGCTAGCAATCCTATCCTGTTAAAAGCATCACTGCTACCGAAACCACAAAGTTGAAGCTTGAAGCCCGATGTTCCACTAGCCAGTGGAACATAGGGCTTCAAGCTAGTGGCTTAAAGTTTCTGTAGCAGTGTTTATTTTCACAGGATGGGGTTGCTAGCCTCATGCCCAACCTTTCCTCTTCACCAGCATTATTTCTGGCTTAGCGAGGTAAAGGAGTGCGTCAGTGGCCGGGGATCGAAACCCGAACCATGTGCATGGTCGGCGAGCGTCCTAACCGCTATGCCACCCACTCAGAACTCAAACAGATCAATGGATTTTAATTAGTCTATGTATAGAATATAGAAAAGGCGTACACTGCCTGTTTGAAAAATCTTACTGACATTAAATGTAACACCTATGATGAATCAGCTTCCAGATTTTTGACATTTTTAAACACTAAACTAAACTTTCTTTAACTCTACTCTGCTGTTAATTTTACACTGATATTTGCCAATATTATAGGAGTACATATCGATTTTTCAGTTCAATTCACTGCACATTTTACTTTGTAAAACTCTGTGTTTACCTATCCTACAATCCTACCAATAGTCCTTTATTGATTTCATTAAACAAATGTATGTAAAACTTGGGCGACGTAATAGCAGTATGTGGTTCTACATTGATTTATTGATTTATTCGATAAATCATCACATGTGATGAAACAGTATTATTTACTGGATGACATTTCGAACACAGCTTATTGCGCATAGTTATATCATCAATTCTGGCTACAACATATAACTTTGAAAGCCAGTTTTTATAATTTTCGGCCTTCTCTCCCATTTGTCGTAAGGGTTGTAAGTAGAATTTTCCAGAGACCCGGGATTTTAAGGTTAAATACATGGGTCAAAGTAGTAAGCCGCAGTCAGATGGACCAGGGGAGCACAAAAGCAAAGAGAAAACTAGATTAGGTGACTCGAATAAAATAAAGAATTTAGAAAAGAGCCCAGCTATAACACACATTGTGTGCAATTACATACGACCGCACAATAGGATGGGATAAGATGACAGTTCTAAAATCTAATAATATAACATCAAGGTGGAGGGAGTGATTGATAACGGAAGATTTATTTAATTGAATCAACTGAGGATAATGTAATAAGGCGTTGAATGTCCTGAGTTGACCAAAATCGATTTGTTTGTTTTAATATTTTGGACCTAATACATTGTACAGTAAGGTAGGTTAAAGGTTTATATTTGTGATGTTTAGCGTTGAGCTGATTAACGCCTGCTCGTAGCGATCTTAAAAAGTGGAATGTACATAAAAGTGCGAACACGAAAGAACCAGGCAGGCGCTTTAGACCAGGAAGAGGGTGTATTGATCATATCTTCACCTTTCGACAGATTTAGAACATAGGCATTCTTACCGGTGTCCAACAATTGTTATATTTCTTGACCTAAAGGCGGCATTCGATTCTGTCGACCGAGAGGTACTCTGGCGATGCTTGGCTGTAAAGGGAATGCCGAGAAAATACATTGCACTGATCAAGACACTCCACTCGAACTCATGCAGTCAGCCAGGTGAGGGCTTACGGCGAGTTGTCATCCGAAGTGGTGTCCGTCACGGATGCCCACTATCCCTGTTTCTATTCAACTTCATCATAGATGTACTAATGGACTTAACCCTAACACACTTCAGAGACTCAGGGATTGACTTGTACAAAATTCGCTAAGGATTCTGGAGGAAAGTCTACTGCCATTCCTGGTGTACCCCTTAAAAAGGAGGTAGAGACTGGCTTCCTTTTGGAGTACATCACCACAGGTTAAATTGCAGGGGTTTTTGCTCTAATTCACAAAGTTCCATTTTTTTTTAATAAGAAAACTTTGATCATAGGTGCCTGCGCTCTATCTCCCGTGTGAAGTGGTATAATAAGGTGAGCAATACTGAGGTTAGGCGTCAAGTTCTATGTAAGGAGGGGAAATCAATCGACATGGCTGTGCAGCTACATCGACTGAGATGGTTAGGACATGTGTTACGCATACCTGCTTAGCCATCGCCTCCCTCGACGAGCAATGTTAGCTGACATAGGGTCAGGTTGGAAAAGAGCTTGTTGCGGTCAAACCAAAACATGGCACCGGTCGGTGAAATCTACAACAGTTAGTTTAAGCCACGTAGGAAGGTGTAGACTTCCTGACTGGTTGGGGTCCCCGGGACGGTAAAAACCAATGGTTGGGAACAATTGGTGATATGGCTAGCTCAAAATCGTTCTCAATGGCGCAGATGCATCCACTCCTTGTGACTTATAATATCCAATAAAACTGAAATAATAGAGAAGATTTGTAGCTCAGGTGGATGATTTGCAATTAACAGTGTTCTCTGAGCTGGTTCGTTTAGTTGCGAAAAGACATGATATGTATTCTTTGGTATCAATGCACACAGACAATTATGGTCATAAATTTGATTGGGATCATGTCAAAATCTTAGACAGAGGAAACACGAAAAGTGCCAGAGAATTCCTAGAAGCCTGGTACTCAAACGAAAATGCAATTGAAATAAGAACAAATTAGTTCAGCGAAGAGTCTCTTTTCGGCGAATTCATTCACTTAGCTGTACAGTCGCAAATATATATACAATTATTTTGTGTGTGTGTGTACATTAGGTTTGTCAAAATCAAAATAACAGTTAGTGTGGGTTGTTGATTATATCATCAGTTATGTCTCATGCTTGCGAATCGGTTAACTGGAACAGATTTCGTGTGTGCGAAGCTGTCAGCCATACCTGATGTGTATCAGTAATAGTGAGATTAGGCGTCGAGTGCTAGGTAAGAAGGGGAAAGCTATCCATGAGGTTGTGAAGCTGTGGTGAGAGCTGCTTGTTAGCCAAAATTAGTAGACAGCAATTTACGTCGCAAATCTTGGTCATGAGAAAAACAAGAACAAAGACTGCGTGGGTGGATACGATTCGCAGATATTTGGTGTGATCATCAAGGAAACAGTCACAAAGAGATGACAGATTAACTTTCAGGGTGAAAACAACCAATCAGAAGATGTTGCTTCTCTGCTAACAATAACCTATAATAATGTACATAAAAATCTATAAATATCTGTAGATTTTCTAAATAAACGATCTGTTGCCTGGCCCTTGTCTTCTGTCGTTACAAAGCTGCAACGATTGAAATGGTTAGGATACGTGCTGCGCATACCGACCTATTCCCTTCCTTGACGACCGGTATTAGCTGACATTCGATTAGGTTAGAAAAAAGTTAGGGATATTGATCACCATCCCGAGGACCGCAACCAGTCAGGAAGTCTACATCTTCCTACGTGGCCTAGACTAACTGTTGTGGATTTCATTGACTGATGAAGCCATGTTTTGTTTTGACCGCCGCTAGCTCTTTTCCAGCCTGACCGTATATCAGCTAACATTGCCCGTCGAGGAAGGCGATGACTAGACATACGTAGCACATATCCTAACCATCTCAGTCGGTGGAGTTTCACAGTCTCGTCTATTGATTTCCCCGCCTTACCTAGCACTCGACGCCTAACCAGTTGCAAAACAAGCTCGTCAACCATTCACAGCCACTGGGACCTGATTCAATGGCCAATCCATGATTCTTACTTTTATCAATTCGTCATTTTAGAGCGATCACCAACCAGTGTCATCGGTAGCGAGTATTCGTTCTCACTCCCTACCGAATGGATGGACCCCACCAACTGGTAACGACTTCTCACTAGAACTCCAGGCAACATCCCTCCTCTAAGCAAACACTAGAGAGCATCAGAATTCTAGGGATTTAATTTGTCCTAAAAAAAAATTCCGACCATAGATTGATATATCAGTTAGAGAACCACTGAAAAAGAAACCAGTCCTCCCTACTGGTCAGCCAGCCAGCTGTCTCGTCAACCTAGTTTAGGACTCATCGGGGGTTCGAACCCAGGACCTTACCTTCTGGTGGTGGTTACAAGACGATCTCGTAGACAAAATCAAATCCCTAGAAAAACCGCCTCTTGACAATAAACTAATTATACTAAAAGAAGAGCAGATAAAAAAACAATATTTGAAAGGCTTAAAGGTCAGAATATTCACACTCACATACACACACACATACACACAGAGAAATATTATTCAAGGAGGAAAAGGAGAATTACTTTTATTGATTTTCTTTATTAATATTATTATTCTTTCATACAAATCTAATAATAATAATAACAATAATAATAATAATATAGAATACAAAAACAATAAAGAAACATACATATATATAGAAATAACCAACCAACCCTCCTCCTAGGTGAACACCATCCATCTTGAAAGGCACATGGAGTGATAATTAATAATAGTAAGAACAATAGCAGTACAACTAACAAGTAAGTAGGCAAGTTAGTTAGTTGGTTAGTAAGCAAGCAAGATACGCTTGAATACCATTCATCATATTACATACATAGTATAAAAACAGCAAACCCAGTGTATGGTGTAATAAGAGCTGCAAAAAAAGGCAGCAATCCCTGTGTTCATATGATTGTGAATTGATTGAGTGTATTTCCTATACATACATAAGATAGATAGATAGATAGATGAAGATAAAATTACAAGAATACAGATTGCACTTTTGAAAGGAAGTACAGAAGTTCATGCACTGAACTGACTATCAGACACTTACACACACACACACACACACACAGGCACAATGCACTAAACTCCACTCTCTCTCTCTCCCTTCTTTGGCTTCGACAGAACGAAAAAGTTGTCATGTGAAAATAAATAAATATGAGGAAAAAAATGAGACACCACAAAGTAGAGCAAAAGACCAGAAGAAGCAGAAGAAGGAGAAAAAAGAGCCAAGTAAAAAAAAACAAAACAACAGGATTAATACAAATCTTCAAGATTGATTGGTGGTGGTCCAGCACGTTTAGTATATCGACGATAACGTTTCAAGTCTGTATCTTCTGCTGCACGGATTCTATTTAGTTCTTCTTGTTCAACAAGAAATTTCTATAAATACATACATAAATAAAATATAGAGAAATTTCATCTATAACATACTACAACTAATAATACTGTAACGACAGAAGACAAGGGACAGGCAACAGATCGTTTATTGAGAAAATCAACAGATATTTATTGATTCTCATGTAAATTATTGTTAGCGGAATAGGAACCTATGATTCAAGATGATGTTACAGGATTGGAATACACCGACTCCTAGATTAGAAATAGGAAGTGAAGTGGTAGAGCACGTTGACTGCTTCACTTATTTGGGAAGTACCATCAGCCAGTGCCAACGGGTTGATCTCTGACGAAATTTCAGCACGCATACAGAGGGCTAGTTTCGCATATGCCAGTTTACACTGTCTCTGGCATAGACACGATATCCGACTATCGACCAAAGGGCGTGTGTACTGCTCAACAGTCCGCTCCATCCTCCTTTATGGCTGTGAGACCTGGCCATTGAGAGCAGAAGACATGAAAAGATTAGCTGTCTTTGATCAAAGGTGCCTGCCTTCTATCTCCTTCTGGTATTATGTGGTACAATAGGGTGAGCAATATTGAGGTTAGGCGTCGACTGCTAGGTAAGGCGGGGAAACCAATAGACAAGACTGTGAAGCTACATCGACTGAGATGGTCAGGACATGTGTTACGCTTGCCCAGTCATCACCTTCCTCAACGGGCAATGTTAACTGATATAGGGTCACGCTGGAAAAGAGCTAGCGGCAGTCAAGACAAAACATGGCATCAGTCAATGAAATCTACAACAGTTAGTTTAAGCCACGTAGGAAGGTGTAGATTTCCTGGTTGGGGTCATCGGGACGGTAAAAACCAATGGTTGGAAACAATTGGTGACATGGCTCAAAATCGTTCTCAATGGCTGGCGCAGATGCATCCACTCTTTGCCACTTATGATTTCCAATGAAACTGTTTTGTTCTCCGTTATTACTATTCATTTGTCTCACACCTCTGTTTACTGTCTCTATTATGTATTTCTCCTACTTTCTTCTCTTGCTTTGTGTGCTACATGGAGTGTGGCGACTTGAACTGCCGCACATCGGTGCAAAGTTCTATGTTGAAAACAGACAGACAGGAAGAGGAACCTCTTCTGATTGGTTGTTTTCTTGCTGAAGGTTATTCTGTTATCTGTTTGTAACCGTTTCTTAGAAAGTTAAGCCATCTATCTGCGAATCGTATTTGCACACGCTAAGCTCCTCAAGGTTAAGCTTTGTTATTGTTTTTGTCAAGACCCCGATTCGGGACGAAACACTGGTGTAAATTGCTGTCTACAATTGTGGCTTGCAGCCAGCTCCCACCACACTACTACTATGGACAAGAATAGTAATATGTTAATTGAGATTAAGGTGAGTCGATGGCGCCAGCCAAGTCCATGCTTCATGGTTCAATTCCCAGTAAACGGACACACTCCTAAACTTCACTTAACTAGCAGGTGGTAAGCCGCTTCCTATCCGAGTTCCACTCGAATGATGGCTTGCATTGAGCGCGATGGCATTTGACGGTGTTATCATCATGTGTTCAACGCACTCCATTTTTTCCTACATATCTGTTGAGTGATAGATAGGTTCTTGGTTGGTTTGTTCCCGACTATTTGATCTTCAGTGTGGAGCAAAGGTAGATGTTTATAAATGTCTGTAACTTGTTGGAAATCCTCATCATTACGTCATTGATTAACAATAACCAAAAACTAGATTCTAAATTCATCAGGTGTATGCCACGCCCACGCCTACGCCCCCCCCCACACACACACAGACGAACACACTCACCTGATAATTTTCTTTAATCCAAAGTTCTTTTGATAAATATTTCGCTTGTTGTTCAGCACCCAAATAATCCCATTCCGTTTCATTCATTTTTAATCGTCGTCGAGTTATAAAAATCTGCGCTTCTTCATTATATGGTCTACGTAGTATCCAATAATTGACGACCCAATGAAGCATCCATCGTAGCCATAGGAAACAAGTCCAAGGGAAAAATAACAGCCGGAAGAGGAGAACACGTTTTAAACTCGGTCGACAACAATCCCCTCTGACACAGAAAGAAGAGAAAAGAAAAGTAGAAATTTATTAAAGCAGTGCGATGTAAAGAATAATAAAACTGAGTCTTTTGGTGGATAGGTTCAAATTGACAGCTAATTACCAATAAAAAGCAAAAATAAATAGCATATAGGACGTAGGTAAACTTTGTTGACGGATAACATCAAGTGGGGACTTTAATGAGAATGAAACAGATATTCCACTTAACTTCGACACTACTCATCCACACGCAACAGGAAAGCCAGATGGTCACAAGTTGAACTTTCTTTCTTGGCGTTCCTGAAATAGAAAGATAATTTGGCAACTTACACCATCTCTCGCTTAGTAAACGTGATATCCAGCTGGCTGGCTATCAACCAAACGACGTGTGTACTGCTTAGCGCTTCGCTCCCACCCTCGCCTTTATGGCTGTGAAACATGACCATTGGAAGTGGGAGAGACATGAAAAGGCCGACTAGCTGTCTTTCATCATAGGTGCCTGAGTTCTATCTATCTCCCGTGTTACGTGGTATACTATAGTGGTAAGGAATATTGACGTTAGGCTATAGTCGAATGCTACGTATGGGGGTGGGGGGGAATCTATCGATGTGGTTGTAAAGCAGTTGCAACGATTGATATGGTTAGCACATTTGTTACATATGCATGCCTAGCTTAGGTATCACCTTCCTCAACAACAGTCAATGTTAGCTGACATAGGATAGATCAGGTTGGAAAAGAGCTAGCGATGGTTAAACCAAAATCTAGCATCCATCTATGAAGTCTTTTGCTTGATTTGAGCAATGTGAATTCCGTAGTTGGGTTCCTCGGTATGATGGTAAGAACCAATGAAGGCTGGAGACTTAATATATGTGTAAAATTTGGGCACTGTGGTAGTAAGTAATTCCATATTAGTTTGTTTATTAGATGCATCCTACAGTGAGTGAAACATTATTATTGACTGCATGACAAGGTTTCGAATAAAATTTACTGAGGTTCATAATCATTTCATCAATTATAATCACATGACTTCGAAACTTGAGTTTTATAGTTTTCTTTGTTCTCTCCTATTTGTCGTCCTTGGGGCAGTAGAATTTTCCAGATATCTGGGACGGGTGTTGAATCATTCCTATTACACTTATTTGCAGTTGATTCGATAAACAAAGCTTCCGCTGTCATCAATCTCTCCCTCAACCCTGTTACAACATTCGATTTTAAAACTGTCATCTTATCCCGTCGTGCTATTGTATGGTTGTGTGTAATTGCATGTAGTGAGTGGTAAAGCTGAACTATTCTCCAGATTTATCTTATTCGGATTTTGCTAGGTTTTTATGCTCGGCTAATCTGGCCCTACCTATTCTACTACTTTGACCTATGTATTTGACCTGACAATCATTGCAGGCAGAGTATTAGATAAACTAAATTGTTTTGTTTTGAAAGCTCCACAGGATTGCCCCTTTAACTGATAAAGCTTGTTTCTAATTGAGTTTGTGGGTAATTGAATGCCACTTTTAATCCTGCCTTGTTAAGAATTCTGCCTAAATTTTCCGAGGTTCCTTCCTCGTATAGAATTACTACTGGTGATTTAGATTCCTTATTGTTAGTGTTGTCATTATGTTGAGCATGTTTGACATGCATGTCGGCATTAATATTATTATTATTATCACTACTATCATTATTTTATTTTTACATTTCGATACATTCTTTCCGACTAATTTATCAGGGTAATTATTAAGTTTCAAAGCTTCCCTAATATGCCTCACTTCCTGTCTTAGATTAGTAGTATTATCTCCTTTTTGAATCTCTCTTCGCCCTCTTCTCTTACTTTGTGTGCTACACGGAGAGTCGGTCGGTCGGTTTTCGACATAGAACTTTGCACATATGTGCGGCAGTTCAAGTCGCCACAATCTATGTAGCACACAAAGCAAGAGAAGGAAGTAGAAGAAATGCATATTAGAGACAGTAAACAGAGGTGTGAGAAAAAGGAATAGTAATAACGGAGAACAAAACAGTTTAATTGGAAATCATAAGTCACAAGGAGTGGATGCATCTGCGCCAGACATTGAGAACGATTTTGAGCCATATCACCAATTGTTTCCAACCATTGGTTTTTACCATCCCGAGGACCCAAACCAGGAAGTCTACATCTTCCTACGTGGCTTAGATTAACTGTTGTGGATTTCATTGATTGGTGCCATGTTTTCGTTTGACCGCCGCTAGCTCTTTTCCAGCCTGGCCCTATATCAGCTAACATTGCCCGTCGAGGAAGGCGATGACTAGGCATACGTAACACATGTCCTAACCATCTCAGTCGGTGGAGTTTCACAGTCTCGTCTATTGATTTCCCCGCCTTACATAGCACTCGACGCCTAACCTCAATATTGCTCACCTTATTATACCACTTCACGCGGGAGATAGAACGCAGACACCTATGATCGAAGACAGCTAATCTTTTCATGTCTTCTGCTCTCAATGGCCAGGTATCACAGCCAGCCATGAAGGAGGACGGAGCGGACTGTTGAGCAGTACACACGCCCTTTGGTCGATAGTCGGATATCGCGTCTACGCCAGAGACGGCGAAAACTGGCGAATGCGAACCTAGCCCTCTGTATTCGTGCTGAAATTTCGTCGGAGATCAACCCGTTGGGGCTGATGGTACTTCACAAGTAATTGAAGCGGTCAACGTGTTTTACCACTTCACTTCCTATTTCTAATCTAGGGGTCGATGAAGTCCAATCCTGCAGCATCATCTTACATTTTACAGGGGCGAATCGCATGCCAAACATGCGGAGATTGCAGCTCAAGGTGTTCAGAAGACTCTGCATTTTGTCAGCATCCTCGCCTAGAAGGACTATATCGTCTGCATATTCTAAGTCGACGAGATTATTCCTTGGTAGTAACAAGTCAATCCCTGAGTCGGTGAAGTGTGATAGGGTTAAGTCCATTAGTACGTCTATGATGAAATTGAATAGGAATGGGGATAATGGGCATCCTTGACGGACGCCACTAGTCGTCACCACTTCAGATGACAACTCGCCATAAGCCCTCACCTGGCTGCATGAGTACGAGTAGAGTGCCTTAATCAGTGCAATGTATTTTCTCGGCATTCCCTTTACAGCCAAGCATCGCCAGAGAACCTCCCGGTCGACAAAATCGAATGCCACCTTTAGGTCAAGAAATATAATGATTGTCGGACGCCGGTAGGAATGCCTATGTTTTAGAATCTGTCGAAGGGTGAAGATGTGATCAATACACCCTCTACCTGGCCTAAAACCTGCCTGGTTTTCTCGTGTTTGTGTCTCCCGAGCACCACTTAATCTACGCAGTATTATTGAGCCTAGGATTTTAGATACTATATTAGTCAAGCTAATCCCTCTGTGATTATCACAAGACGACTTGTCCCCCTTATTGTATATCGGGATGATCAGTGACTTACACCAACCCGATGGGACTTCCTCTGATTCCCAGACGCTGCCTAGAACCTCCGTTAACGCAGACAGTAAACTGTCGCCTCCGTACTTAAATACCTCTGGAGTCAATAAATCAGGTCCCGCTGCTTTGCCTAGCTTCAGATTGGTGACAGCTTCAGTAACCTCAGTTAAGGACGGAGGACCTGTGTCTATCTCCCATTCAGGGAGGTGTTGGGTGTCCGGTAGGTTAAGTGTGGCTGTGGGCCAATTAAACTGCTCCTCATAGTGTTCTTTCCAGCGCTCCAGACGTCTATCCTGGGAGCTAATTATGGTGCCATTTTTCTCGGAGATTGTTTCGCTTATCATTTGCCTTTTACCACCTGTTTCCCTGATAAGCCTGAATAGTTGTCTGGTGTTGTGGTAACCCTAACTGTTGCACATCTGTGCAAAGCTCTGTGTTGAAACCAGTCAGTCACTCAGCTAAGCATATCACCATTCAGGCATTTAATGATTTAAAATTGCAAAATAGATGTTAACAAGTTCTATATATCCACATTACATGCTACATCATCTCATTTTCAACCTGTTAAGTTTCGACCTAGTAATCAATGCAGTAGTCCATGCGACAGGAATGGTCCTGACTGACTGACTGACTGACTAAATGAGTTACAACACAGAACTTTGCACAGATAAGCAGCAACGGCAGCAGTTCAAGTCGCCAAACTCCATGTAATAGTACACAAAGGTAGACCAAAAAGGCAAAACAAAAATGGAGAGATTGAAACATGAGAAGGAAAGAATAAGTACACATACATGGACAAAGATGACGATGTAGCGGAGATATATGAGGGATTACAAAGAGTGAATGCATCTGCACCATTGAGAACGATTTTCAAACCATATCATCAGCACTCTCCAATCATTCACTCTCTTAGCATCCTGATGACCCCAACCAGACCAGAGTACACCCTCCCCACCCGCACCTTCGTATCATGAACCAACTGTCAAACATTTCCATGGACCATAAAGCAATTAAACTGCCCTAAAAACGTTCGTGAAAGTTGAATAATAAAGGAGTTAACCTTTATAATATGGTTGATGGGTATCAGTTGTTCAGTGATAGTATCTTCACCAGACACGTAGGGGGTCCGGCTTCGACTCCCGATAGACGCCTTATCTACTATTCGCCAGTAAATCAAGAAGATAGGGAAGACGTGAGATTAGCAACACAACACAATGTAAAAAATAATACCACAGCTAGTGAAACTTCAGAGGTCAAATCTGAAGCCTTATGTTCTACCATTAAAGAAAGGAAGAAATGAGAAAAACTTGGCTGACTGGGGTACATTTCATCCCTCTCAAGACTCTTCATCTGGATGTAATGCGATCAAACTACTAAAGGCTGGGAAGGGGGCAGAACCAGACAGAATTTCCCTCCGAAGCACTGAAAACGGACTCAGAGAAGACGCCATCATTTCAAAAAGTTTGGAAGGAAGGAAAGCCGCCTACTAATTGATGAGAAACTTGGGGCCCCCATCATGAAGAGCATTAACAAAAGGCAATATCAGAATTGTATCAACAACTTCCAACTTTGCTTGCTCCATAT